ATTCTCTCTGTGCAGGATTTTGCGCACACGCACGCACACACACACACATACATACAAATGTACCTAGTGTGCATAGGTAGATGTGGTCGTATCAAAAACACAGAAAACAAAATATGTCAGTAAATAGCCAGGCAGGTAGGACACTAAAAAAAAAAAAAAGTAACGCAACGGCTACGTATCAACGTTGTTGCTAGAATATAGTATAGCGTAAAAGGGCATAGCCCTATGGGAAGCGAACAGCTGAGTCAAATGCTCAAACATAATATTGATAGCGATAGAGCTCACTAATATGATGGGTATCTCTCTTTCCGTGCGCGGCATAACACACGCTGGGGCAAAGAAAGCTCCGAACTGACAACACGAACCATAGAATGACACAAATGCGGGTTGCTCCAAGGCTGATTTGTTTAGATAGTAATGACTAGATCAGAGAAGGTTTTTGATTTTTTACGTTTGGCTACTGAAAAAAAAAACTGAACATTTTCTGTAACTGCGGAAGTTCGGAAAACCATATAAGGGGCACGGTAATGTTAAGTATAAATGGTTAGCGACGATTAATAGATTTGACTAATAGTCCCTCTTACTGAGACCGTATTGTCTCACATGTGCGTGTACAATCGAAACGAGTCGACCGGACCTTCAGAAATCCGTAACGAATTTCCTTCACTGCCATCATATGAGGGCTGACGTTATGTCCTATCTAGATAGGTTTGTGTGTGATATAGTGGAGACGTAAAGCCACTAGGTGAGAATATTTTATATTTGTTTTCACGAATCTGAAGGGATAATATAGAGGTTGCGTAAAAAGTTCTGTTGTTTTTTTGCCGAAAAAGTACTGCAAAGATGAATCACCAGCATAGCCATCCCTGCAGACATTACGTGAATAGGATAACGCTAGAGGCAACACTTCAGGTTCTATTGTTGCACCCATTGTCTCCATGTGCTCACATTTCTGAGTTAATTTATCGTTCTAAGCAGCATGATTGTAAATATAGTATTGTATATACGTATGTGTGTATATATATCAGCCGTCGTTAATAGTCTTTATTATCTCAGGCATGTGTCAAGGCTATAGCGTGTTATTGTACATACGTTGAAAGTATGTAAAATTTTTCACTGGAGCCCCGATCATCCGTCTACCTTGCTGTTATGATTTGTGCCAGTGCCTATATCTGCATTCATAATAGTAGAGTTTATAAAGCAATCCTAGCGAACAGATATTGAGGGTCCTCTGCTGTTAGACTGTAGGCTGACAGGTGGGTACAAGGGTCAAGATATTATTGCATCCTTTATCAAATACATGCCCGGTAATCTTACTGGTGAACGCTTTGCGTGTCGTCGAGGTCTGAACCCTTGCAGCGTGATCGGCCGAAGGAAAGTTGAGACCCACTATATATAGATAGAGGTGCAGCTCGAGCGTGAATGCTTCTGAACGCTGTGTTTTCAAGGGAAATACATACAGATAGTTTCTCTCAACACAACCAAAGAGCCTATAGAACGCTATGTATCTTTCAACAAAACAAATATTAGATACAGATCTTTCCGTACTGAGCTCCCCTTTCCTCCCAACAGTGCCCTTTTACCCCCACTTTGGTCTTTTGTTTTAGGCTTTAACGATCTCCCTGGCAAAATAGGTAGGCACTTCCGCTTTCAGACGGTAACGCATTAAGTGACGTGGCCGCGCTGCTGTGTAAACACGCAGTGTATTCCCAGGTTCTTCCATAGTTCGGCATCTTCTACGATGGATACCTTATCTGTAACCACCATACGTAGCTCCATTCACACCAACTTAACTGCTAGCATCACTGCTGCCGCACTTCAATAAAGTGTAACTAGTCCCATTTATCGAAGTCCACTTTGGAAGTACCCTCAACTATGATCTTCCTGTTAGTGACATTGTCACTTGGTACTTCGTGTTGTTCAACAACGTACTAACGAAGGAAAACGGTAAAGAGCCTCGGGGAAGTCTCGGTAAAGTGCAGGAAGGCCGTGGTATGTATTCGGTATGCATCGGGACTACATGCAGGACAGTTGATGGATAAAGGTTCAATTGGAATTTATGGAATCATTAGTATTATGCAATATATAGAGAGGAATGGCTTTTAAAACCAAATGTCATCCAGACAATCGAGTGGGGGATTTTCGGTTCAAGCCTAGGCTCAAAGACGATGAGATTACATAGCATAAAAATCAATATAGTTTCATTACCATCCCCGGCAGAATATTGTTCTACTTTGTGATGTAGTATTTTGAATAATAATAAGCGGAATCGGAGGCAATGTTTACAAGGATGACGTTGAATTTTCACGGAGGCGTAAAACACAGCCGCTGTTGGGTCTACCGCTCAGAGTGATGTCTTGCCACTGAACCCCTGTTTCTCACATCTCGCATTACTGAACGAAACACTCATCTCGACAAACTAGGATGGTTCCAAGAAACCGATCAAGTGTAGTTGTTAGATCGGTGCAAAAGAACACCAGGAGAGAAAACCCGGATAATGGGTGGGAGGGGGGAGCAGTACCTCCGAGAACGAGAGAAGCACGTCCTTCCACCGCTGTCATCGATCCGCGTTCAATTGAATCTATGATTTTATATTACATCTATAATTCAGCCCTATATATAAAATCGATTTAAAAATGAATGAGTCGTGTGTTCCCGATTGATAACCAGTAGAAGTTATAAGGCGTACTGCAGCTTTGGACCTGGATTGCGGTTCTTTCCTCCGTCGGGGTTCATGGGTGAACCGATACTCGATAGACTCTGTCTTAACGTCCGCGTTGTGGCCGTACATTTATGTCTGGTAATCCGTAATGACGCGATCAAGCAAGTCTGACTTTTGTAGAGATGACAAGAGTTTTACTGACGCAGTTCTTCACTGTTCAGTGCTGGACATCTAGCTGTATCAGAAAAAACTCTGCCGTACAATTTCTGACGCCTAAACGATCTATCAATGTGACCTGGAAAGAACCAATTGATTCGGCGCTTAACAAGCACGAATTGCTTCAACCTCGGTCGTTTATAATGGGGGTCATACGCCTCTTTAGGATAAAGATCGTCGTCGACAAACTCCCTCGAACTATTTGCTTAGTTGTACTTTACTCAGTGTCTAGTTTCCCTAGGCCTTTTGCAATATCCGCAGAATGTCTGTGAGGTTGATCTTATTTTGGGCACACAATTTGATGGACGCTCGTTGGTGCTTCAAGCAAAACCGTGAGACGCACAATACAAAAACTTACTTAATTTCACCAGAAAACTCCGGAGTACATCAAATTGTTATGAAATTTTGTCCATGTCTAGCAAAGGCCTTGCTGCCATTTCGGCCAAAATATACGTGGGCTATAAGCAATCATCCAGCGGCACGAAAATTCAACCCAGTCATTCATTTTTGAACAAAAGAGACAAATTTCGGCAGGCTATTTGTCGTAATGGGCATGTGTTTGTCCGCCATTCTTGTTGTTTGCAGAAAATCTGCTTTTTATAGCATGAAGCAACAAATTCATTATAATAGAAAACAATGCCTTAATTTTGCAACGTGAGCGAAAAAGAGTTATTGTCCTATCTCTTCGCGCTGGACGAACCCCCATTAAAATAGGAAAAAGGGTAATTTTTCGCCTGAAATTGACGGTCTGCACTATTGTCAATTTTCACGATTTTTCTAAAGAAATTGGGGAGAATTTTCATTAGGCAGACCGGAAAATACTCAATGGGTCTCAGATTTAAAAGGTTCAGAAAATCATCAAAAAGGCTCAAAAAGCTATTTCTCGTACACCTAGATTTATAGTACAGAAATTAATGGCCGTTTTGGAGAGGAAAGTCAGTTGTCAATTGGGTCGTCCAGATGGGCGCCAATCTTTTGATAGTTCTCGGCCATTTTGAGTCCTTGCATACTTGGGACTTTTGGCCTGCAGTCAGCCCAAAATTAGGGTCCGCTGAAATGTTTTGGCGTGTAGCGTATTTAAATGGTACTTTGGTGAATTTATCTCTTGATGCACGGTTACTATTACAAATTGTTTACAGATTAAACAAGAAATATTTTGAAAATATATAGTAAGTGGCTTAGGTCCCGAACCGAAACTGTAATCACGGCGAATGATGAAATGGCACTTCTAGTATATGTTAAAAATGTCCTTAAAATATCTAGTTTTATGTAAACACAGTCTTAGAGACAAAGCATAAAGTCTTA